ACTAGTAACAAGAAGCTACTAGGTTGGAGGCCATCGCTATTAGGTTCAAGGCCACAACTAACTACTAGTAACAAGAAGCTACTAGGTTGGAGGCCAATACTACTATTGACAAGAAACTACTAGGTTGGAGGCTATCGCGATTGGGTTGGAGGCCATTACTACTATTAACAAGAAGCTACTAGGTTGGGGGCCATCGCTATTAGGCTGTAGGCCACTACTACTAGTAACAAGAAGCTACTAGGTTGGAGGCCAATACCACTATTATTAACAAGAAGCTACTAGGTTGGAGGCAATCGCGATTGGGTTGGAGGCCATTACTACTATTAACAAGAAGCTACTAGGTTGGAGGCCACCGCTATTAGGTTGGAGGGCCCTACTACTAGTAACAAGAAGCTACTAGGTTGGAGGCCATCGCTGTTAGGTTGGAGGCCATTACTACTAGTAACAAGAAGCTACTAGGTTGGAGGCCATCGCTACTAGGTTGGAGGCTCTTTGTTAAGTTTCCCTAAAAATCTAGGCACCAAATCATTAGATCGAGTGCTTCTTCAAGGAAGCGTGAGCTATCCTGAGTCCTGTTGGTTGCAGCTAGTAGCTACCTCTAGCTACTACTAGCTACCTGACCACCACTCGCGGCCTACCCCCCAAGGTATATATGTGTTTCTTGTTTTCAAATCACTTCGCCACTCATCTGTCCTGCTGGAACTGGCCGTCTGATACCGTCATGGCAACCTGCCAAGCCACACAGCCACTGGATACGGGGCAAGCGCTTGGGACCATGTGGCCTCCCATCTTTCATGGCACTTCTCATGGACCTTGCCAAGAATTGGCTTGTGTTGGTGAGATTGCACAAATATAGATACAAATGTGAATAACACGTTCAGTTCAGCTTGTCGATTTCTCTTCATGCCTAGGGTCACTGCTATTTGCACATCTTCCGTTCCAGTATACATTTGAATGTAGTCCTTGAAGGTGCTGATATCCAGCCTGCATTCAGTCAGTGTGGCAAAAAAAGTGCCCACACAATATGTGATGGTTCTATGATGTCTACGGTAGCAAATCAATCCAAACAATATTGAATATTAAATCTGACCTCTGGCCGTTGAGGAAGATTTTGCACTTCGCTGGAGTGGTCCCTGCAAGATCTACCTTGGTCATTCAACAACCATCTGGTTGTGCACTCTACGAGCTACTTTGAGACAAATGCCACCCGTCTTGACATGAGCCCCACGATGTCCTGGTATACTTGACGGAACAGCTTTTCATGTAATTCACAATAGGTTTGAGGCCTGGTCAACTTTGTTCATGTTTCAAAGCACGTTGCGACAGTCCTTGTCCAGCTTCTTCATTCCAAAGCGAGTTAAGTCCGGCCAGAATGTGATCCTGATACATGGAAGATCAGCAGAATTGGTTCAAGCACCAAGAATATACCTGCACAATTAACTTCGGCTTTCTCCATTTGCTGTGGCACGCACTTTGTGAAGCTTTCTCCAGAGTGGGAGGTGATCTTGGGTTTCTGCTTGGTCTGCATATTGCCCTGCAAATGGTGAAAAGTGTGCCACAGCAAATCAGGAAATTCAGCGTATCTGCTGCACTTATTACTTCATTGATGTGCCTCCCAAATCTGGTAGTATTTCTTCTTTCTTTCAGAATCGCCACATTCAACTTCAAACCTCAACGGAGGTGCACAGGGCACAGCAGCGTCATGCAGCGTCTTTTGGCCAAGCTTGACCAGGCGCTGGACCTTTTGGAGAAAATGTTGGTGAGCTTTGCTCCATAGCCGTTTCGACCACCGGTGACCTCTCAAGGTCCAAATCTGTGCTTCTCACAAGGGATCGTGAATAGTTTGGGCCTTTTTCTCTGTATCGTCGTAGTTGTCACTTGTCAACAAATGGCCAAATACCTTTCCATGACAAAAGACTTGAATATACTCGCATAGTCAAAGGGTGAGACAAGAGTAGAGGCCAGAAAGGCAAAGTTGTCAAAGGCAAACAGCTTGAGGACGAGGCAAGCTCCGGAACATACATGCGATGTTCTTTGTGTTCCTGACAGGGGTAGATCAACGACAATTGAACACGGACAGCTAGAACAGACATTGATTGATGTGCACTTTCGAGAATGAACATGAAAAAACATGTCCAGCAGAAGCAGAATTGACAGTTGGCTTCATTGAGAACAGAAGGAGCCGTCCGTGAAGCGATTCTTTTTAATACCAGCCTCTACTGGCAAACCTTTGCCATTGTTCTCGACCGTCACACTGCCTTCCTTCTCATTGATCGTTACCTGAAACGACATGAGCTCTACCCAGCTAACGTTGTCCGTGGATACACCATCTTGACCTGAATTATTGAAGGAGACTACGGTACTACGTAGGACTGTCTGGCTATACTTTGTAGAATGCATCTTTTTGTGGGTCATGATAGAAGCTGTTGTTGCACCAAACAAAATATTTTAGTCAGACTGCCTACGAACGTTGTGAGTTTGACAAAGTCTATTCCAAATCAATCATAGACTGCCGCAATAGTCAATAGTCGCTCATATGTTGCCCTCGTGCCAGTACACAGCATCATCCAATATATATAATATATCTCTGATTCTACGATTCATTTTCGTGCTTGTCCAGGACCGGTTCATTCTACGCCTTCACATAGGTCTGAGAATTGTCGCGAACATAGTTGTCGGCGGCATTGACCAGGATTTCATCGAAGATCTTGTAGAGCCCTGGCCTTCAGAAGATTCCAAGAACCCTAGAGTCTCGATGCTTGATACGGAATGTGAAGGGTTGGGAAGGTACTGGATGTGCGACAAATATTGCAATCGCTCGGCAGACGACACACGGCAAATTCTAGGAAAGTCCGGGAAGTCTGAATGGGTTTATATATCCTGCGTTACTAGATATTTCCTTGAAGATTGTATGAATCAGGCTATATATCTTTGTAAAGGGTTTCCCACAATTCAATTCCTCCAGAAAAGACCTGATGTCCTGTACATAACCGTCACCAGTGTCACGTGCTGTACTCTACCAGTGACGCAAACGTTCAGGTGCCAAAGCCGATCAACTCATGTTGAATGATGTTGAATGTCTCTCACACCCGCACCAAATGCAAAATATAAAATAGAAACAATAGAAACTACTACGGTACCGATGGCCTCCAACCTACTAGCGATGGCTTCCAAGGCTAAAGGAAAACAAACAATACAAATCACTGGAAACAAAAAAATAGTAAGCGCCCCGCACATAGTTGATACTTTTCTGCTCTATGGAACGATCCTTGTCGCTGTAGACCTTCAAAGTGCCAGTGCCCCTCTAAGTTGTGTTTAGACTCTGGGAGAAAGTCGTGCTTAAGTTGGAGAAAAGTCAAGAAAAGCCACATTGCCACGGTAGCGCGCTTTTCCTTTTCTCATTTGCTAGGCAAAATGATGTATCCTGATCGCTATGAAATACCATCCATGCGCTACGAGTTGGTCATTCGCCGTATGTGGCATGTGGTGGTCTTAACTTGGTGACCTGTTCCAAATGTCTATTCGGCCACATTGTTGCGATTATCTCTGCCGAAGGTGAAAGCATCACTTGTTCACTTCACTTCCTGGAGCTGTCTTTGCTCTATGCATAGATGTAATTTATATGTATATAACAGCGTCGAATCTTCAACGGATTCAACGGACCAACTGGCTCGTGGTGTGAGACATGGATTTGTTGTGAAGGAGAGGCTTAGCCATCTGCCCACTGAAAAGAAAATGTTGTCTGTTCCGCGCAGGGTACTCAAAGTCGGTTCGACAATAGGCCTCAAACGCGGCCAAAATCATGCAAAAGCATCTCCAGCACTCGAAGAGTCAAAGAGTTTTGGATCCTGCCTCCGCATTATCTCAATGGCACCTGCCCTATAAGCTGTGGCTCTGGATCTGGCGGAAGGACCTCCCTTCCACGCCTGCGACTTAATTAGGGCAACATTTTCGAAACACAATGATGCTATTGAAGGGGACATCTGCTTGCAACATCCTACAAGCGACTCGGGTGATGCATCAAGAACGACAAACTGGTGCTTGCAGGTGCAATAGCTAGTAGACTGACCTGTTGCAAATAGAACACATAATTCGAGCAGCGGCACTGTATAACATAAAGGATCCTGAACGTCAGAGTCAAGGTCACACTCGTTCCTGGCTTGATCTAAGCCACTTGCACTGACTCCATGTGTTTTTCTTGGGAAATCCGCTTCAACCTTCATTGCCGTGGACACCATGTTCATCCATTTTCCAGTCTCCAGCATCCTTGCAAGTTTGCACATACTACAGTAGCTGTTTTTCTTTTCAAAACTAGTGCAGTGTGCCAAACTTCAAGGTTATAGATATGTGGCTTAGAGTTTCTTTTGCTCTGGTGCAGACCAGGAATATCGAATTAACCAAACACAAAGCAGGGAACTCCAGACTGCCAGACTGCTCAGGCAAGTGTCTTCTGCGATTGGAGACACGGTTGTTTCGCAACAAGTCTTTGGAAGTAGACCTTACTTTCGCTTCGCCATCTCTTCTTTATTGTTTTCCTAATCTCGTTGAGTAATTGTGCACGGGGACCGCATCCATTGCTTTTATATTTTGTCCACACACACACATCCACACATTTGTTCACATGTGACTGCCAAATCTGCTGCATAGTGCAAAATGTTTTATGATGAATAAAGCACGTCCCATGACTACTATTCACACAGACACAAGAATCCCCAATCCAATCTCACCAATATGTTTACATAACATTATATAATATTGTATAACTACAGTTATATGTATATATAGATATTTTAAGAACGAAACATTACCAGTTCACAGTCTTCCACAAACACTCCCTGATTTCACCCGTCTGCCTCAAGGACGCGATCTCCGAGCGGAGCGATTTGATTTCACGGATCAAATCGGTCATTTCCTCCCTCCTGATCATCACGCGATCTTCCGTACCTTCAAGACATAGTCGTACCAAAATGCACAAGACATTGCACATAGCGTTGTTGGATTGATTTTTATTGCCCCGTGTCTCACGTGAGACCCTCATTGACCCTCTGTGATTTCAAAAGAACTATCTATATCGTGGCCAAATTTCTGTTCGGTATTTGAAAGACGAGATCCTTCTGTTCGATTCACTGTGCAACAAGTGAGCCAGCGTTTCTAGATGTTCCTATTTATGTTTACATAAATATCAAGATCTGGGCACAGCAAGGGACTGTGGCGACCCAGCCTGGATGATCCGCATTCTGCAGCACATCATGGCTCTCAAGCCTGACTGCATGCACCGCTGTTCATCTTGGGTGATACATGCAACGACTCATAAAGTTTTCTCTAGGTGAATCTCTGCATATCTCTGCTTGGCAGTTGCATTTTTACTTGAAATTTTCCAAGCAAAGAGCCAGCCTTTCCACATCTAATGCTGCGGAAACTCTTCTGAACAACTGTCCTGGCATTTTGCTTCAGGAGGCGAGGTCTCTGACAGTGTCTGAAGTGGCACACTGTGAAAACAGCGTCTGATGACTGATGAGACACGCCAGTCGCACCAGGGACTTGTGTGATGGCTGTCAGTGATTCAGGACTCTCTTCATCCAGGGCATCTTTGGCCGCAGTAAGATTGGGAGGGTGTAGAGGAGGATGTATTCGACGCCAGAAGCTTTGGATATGAGAGGCGGCCAAATGCTTGTAGCTTCGGCCCACCGTCAGCCTTTCGAGAATCTGACATCTTAGGATGTCACTGTCAGTCTGAAGCTGCACACAATTATTTATAGCGAAATGGCATGCAGAAATTCATCGGAGCGTGCGCCTTTTTCTGAGTTGGACACGAAGTTTTTCCCGGCTTTCTGCTAAAGAAGTCCACAAAGATGAGAACTCTGGAAAGTCGACCATTGACCTGCGACGTGCATTAAAGAAAGTATGTATATTACGACATGATATTATATCATTATATATATAAATATAACTGTTCTTGCTTCTAGGGGTTGGAACTTTCACACATATATCCGCCGACCCCAGATGATGGGGGAGCGCGTCAGAGAACTCTGCTACATCCGGCTGCGTGCAGTGGCAGCAGAGACGAGGAGAAGAACACTGGAAGCAGGTGTCTACCAGCCACTACAAGCATATGATGACTGACTAGATAGTTGCAGTACTACACAATGTGACTACGCCGACGCGTCACAGTTCACTGTAGCACACCTGTTATTAAGAGGCTACACAGGTTGCTGCAATCTGTAGCATGCTGCATTGCATGGTTCTTAGCCTCTCGATCTCCGTCTTGGGAACCACAATGCAACTGCCCCGTGCCTGCACGACATGGGAATTATATAGTGCAATTACTGTGGACAGATTGCCATTTGACTCCCTTCCTCTTCTGTACTCACCTCCCCCCCAATTCTGAAAGAAACTCTTTTTGATTTTGTGATGCCCATCCTCGCAGCGAGCAGTTGCTTCGCGTGGCTGATTGAACAGAACCCCATACTCTCCAAAGTAGCTGGCCTTCAATGTCAAACTTCATCAGCTCGGGTATTTTCACAAGAAGCACTGCAAATCAGTTCTGCTGATGCACAATCCACAAACAGTCACAAACAACACAAACACCAATGTGCGCGCACCCGGCTGAATAGCTGGTATGGATAGGTGTGTTGAGAACCTTCGCCTTGGGTGAGTGGCTGGCATACTTGAGACCAAGAACATCTGAACATCCAAACGTCCCAACATCCAGACCATCAGGGTTTCAGCATTTACTAGGTGGGACGGACTTTTGAGCAAAGCTTGCAATTTGCACTCCAAATAAGAGCAGGATAATGCTGAACATGCTGAACACCAAAAAGACACAAAATACACATGAACATACAATGATCACTTGAATCGCCTCTCTTCAATAGCGTAAAAAGCTGAGTGCTTTGCTGACACTGACTTTCACAGCCGCCAGCCACCTACCCATGCCCTGACTGATGGCATTGACGTCCTCGCCGCCCGACTCCTTTGCGACCTCATAAGACTCGTGGTGCTTCCAAACACAAAGCAAGAAAAGATTCCAAAGAAAATGAGCTATTCAATACAACGCATGTTCATAGAATAATGAATTCTTAAGCTGTATAAGCATGTTCATGTTGATTCTCAAGAGAAAATGATCCAACATGCTCTGATAAAGCGAGTGATGTCATGTGACGTCCAAGACCCGAGGTAAGTCGTAGAGCCCGTAAGGAGTGATAAGACTACTGTGCATTTGATGCTTTTCTGAGTGCGGAACACCAACGTGGGCGAATACGCCGTTGGCAACCTGAAGCTTCAATGGTCCAAAGTGTGCTTTTCCGTGATTAGACTTATAATACAGTAGCAAAAGGAACCTAAGAGCAATGGCCTCCAACCTACTAGCGATGGCCTACTAGTTTCGCTTTCAAGATCTGCTTCGTTCGCTTCACCAAGCTGAGGCGATGAGCCAGGAAAATATGATTTGAGAAATCTTGGCATTGATAGATGTGCTCCTGCTTCTGGAAGTACTGCCTTCACATCGACTGTATCGCTTTGCGGCCACGGAAACACAAGCATGTTTTGATTGTGATGTCTTTTCTGTATAAGTAGATTCTGCACTTGCACAAGGCCTGTGGGAGTTCAGAGCCAAAAGCATCGGCAATCGAGGAGGTAGTTCGTCCATCCTGCGGACGTATTCTCCGAGTTTGCAGCGGTCAAATCCCAGAAAAGGCACAATATATGTCTTACCGTTCATCCTTGCAGCACAAACAACATCACTTGTCAACAACACAACCTCGCCGCCGCACATTGATGCGGTCTACTTAGTTACTTGCTCTTGCCATTGAAGGTCACGCAAAAATAGAGTGCCAAGAATGATACGCAATATGGCCCGGTCCGCTTGGTCGGAAGAGCAGAGAAGAAACGATTGGTAGTGAACTGACCCTTGAAGAGCAAAGGAGGTATCATGCTCTCCAAATTGCGGTACATGTGCCTGCAAGTCGCTTGACACAACGCTTACTGGAATGTAACATGAGAATTCTGAGCATCTCTCTCTGAGCTGTAATCTGCTGTAGTCATAGTCAATGTGTATCATTGTTGTCTCTCAATTGTTTTGCAAGGCTCTGTGTAGAAGCTTCAGACCAAGATTCACCTTTCTACCAGATCTCGTCTACTCTACCTGGACTCTACCTAGCTGGTGCAAACAGTTTGATCTCGAATGCTTGGGCTTCGGATGTGCCTTCCAGTTAGAAGTGCTCGCACACCTTCCTTGTCGTACCTTTGTGTCATCCACTTCGTGGCCTAGCACCGACAGCTTCA